TCCGGCCCATGTATCAAATATAAATGTAAAGAAACCATCTGTTCTTACCCTAATTTCTCGCTCAGCAGCTCTGTCCGATCTCTCTACGCTCTCTACTTGGTTTTCTAGCAATTTCGCTCGATCCTTCCAAAATCAAACCCTAAATCGTCCTTATACTTTCCAAATAATCCACAAAACTCCAAAAATTACACAATAGTTAAGTGTTTTTTTTCTTACATGCGTTTGAGGCGGAAGTCAGTACTGTTTTTGGACGAAGAAACCGTAAATCGCAAAAGTTCAAAATCAAGATTTCAAACAGAATCAAAGGTAATCCTTGTAATCTTTCATTTTTTTTTTCGATCTAAAATTTTTGATTACTATACGCATTACATCGTTTTTTTATAAGGTTAGATAATAATATGAAATTAAATTAAATTTTTTGGCATTTGAAACTCCAAAAATTACACAATAGTTAAGTGTTTTTTTGATTCACTTGCATGCATAAGATTTGTTAGATTTTTATGCTTGATATGCGTACATATTTTTTTAAGTAATAAATTTTAATAATTAAAAAGAAAATTATCTCTGTACACTTGAATTATTTAAAGATTATACGGAAATTTAAATATTTAAATAACCGTGTAATGTGTTACGATTCTAAATTAATTAAATCCTACTATCGAAATGTAAAATTAACACTATACGCAGTAAAGTAAATAATCAATTGTTCAATTTATTTAATGTATCTATAATATTATTATAAAGCAAATTTGATATTTGTAAGTGGTATAATAAATTGCTGTTAAATTATTTGATATTTGTTTAATTTGAAAGTTTTTTTTTTAAAAAAGGAAATTAATTTTCTGGTTATTATTTAATATATAAAGTGTTATGTACAAAAAAAAAATTAACACTGGAAAATTTTAAAGCTTTAAAATACAATATTTCTGTGAAAATTGGATTTGAATTTTAAGAACCACAAAATTTATGTCCTATATTATGTAAAAACATTTATAGTATAAAATTGCCAGTAAGTTTTTTTTTTTCTCTTTTTTTGCTTACCTCAAATATAAAATACAATATATTCTAACATTATCTATCTACAACGTAAATAACTACTGGTAATGCAAGTAAGAATTCTGTTTAAAAACATTTTATGAGACAATGACAGGTACGTTTCAAATACTAACATTAATCTTCCTCTGCTTGATTTCTTTTGCCACCAATGATAAATGATCCTTTTAGCTTCCTCATATTGCTTTGATTCGATGTAGTTTATATTAGATGTTGATAGTCTGTGATAGTAAAGGAAGAGTGATATATGAACATATAGCCTTGTCAACATTATCATCCCACATAATGCACTTCAGCTATTTGTGACGGTAAAAAAAAAACATTTAAAAGCAGCCTGTAATTAGAAAACATTTTTTTTTTTCAGTTCAAATAATTTTTTTTTCAGTTGACAATGGTAGCATGCTTAAACTTGTCCATATAGCTGATTGCTTGTTTTGTATTTTAAGTAGTTCCTAATACATAAGAAATTATTCAGTCCATAAATCTTCTGCTTTTTGAATTGATTTCATATTTCTCAGCATTTTCTGTAGGTATATGCGCATGGATAATAAGCAACGTTTTTGATTTGTGACAAACAAAAACATTATTATATAACACAAATAATACTGAAAATTACTATATTTCTTTATTTACCTTTGCATTGTGAAATACACATCCTCTGATCTTGATTGGGCCTTTTGTTTTTGTTTCAGAAACCTCATATGTATTCACAAATTGCTCGTGGGCTCTCCGTCAGTCGATGTGAGAATGAAAGCATCTGAAAAAAGGGGAACACCATCAAGCTTGTTGTTTGCCGGAAAAATAGACCACCAAAAGAACATCCGAACCAGAATCCTTGATTGCAGACAGACCAACCAAGCCACCACCAAAGCAAATGACACCGGAGTGGGAAGCGCCAGGGCCAGACCAGAAGCAGAGAACATCCCCTCTGCTTACACCCTAATTCACGGACCCAAGACCAACCAAACCAGTCGGAAAAATCGCAGACAACGGAGTAAAATGGTGGAACAAAAGCCTCCATTAACCAACTCCATATCAGTCCAAACTCCAGGCACGGATTTAGTTCAAAAAGAGTCCAAAAAGGGGAACGTCCTAAATATGGTGTGTCTCACGTCGGAGGGGACTCATATGCCTGAGCAGACAACCACGCCTCCAGCATGTGTGCATGGACTTAGAACGTCCAACCTACATTACTGCCACAGCAGCAACCACGAGCCTAGGCACCATTTCCAAGCAAGGAATCCAAACTGGATAGACTCGCCGGAAAAAGCCCACCGAGAAGGAACAAAGGAGCGGAGGAGAAAAAAAGAGGGAGAGCAAGCAACCATCTTGCTCAAAGCATGAGAATCCATAGCACCCTATATAACGTGTATATATAAGCAAAGCCCTGTTCCCAAGAATCAGCATCCACACGTTACCTTGGCAGAAAAAGTCCAACAAATCAGCGAAAAAATAGGAGACAGCAGAAAGTTCTAAAACTTAGCCCCTAAGAAAAAAAAAAAAACGCCATCGTTTAAGTTGGGCGGGAAAATGGAGCCTTCTGATTGGCTGAAATTTAGTGGCTTTTATATATGTATAGATAGATGTATAGATTTTTTCTCACTTTCTTAGAATTTATAAATTTAATTCAATTATAATTCTAAGTTTCATGGTTTGCATGTGCAAAATATGTATTTAGTCACTTTCTAAAATTTAGATACACTTTTTATTAATTATTTTTCACGAAGCTTACTTGGTTATTTGGACTAACTATAGGAAGTTGCGTGGTGTGATATACCTCTTTTGGATTCCAATAATAAAATATATCTTCTGAGCCAATTTCCAACTTGGTTTTGGAAGACGTATTTTATTATTTTAGTATGTCCAACTATGGTGGAAAATCATGTCCTCATTAATTATTCATTTAGTTGGACTATAATTGGAACCAAATATTGATTATTTAGTATGTCCAACTAATGGTGGGGAATTATATCTTCATTATTTAGTTGGTCAAATCAGTTATGAGTGTTATATCATTAATTTGGCTAAAGAATATCTTAATCCGTAGGAGTGATCATTTAGAAAAAGATCATTAAATACTCGACTAAAGCTGATGGATTTAATTGTTTTCATACATTTCAAATTGGATTGTGCGTCTAGCAATAAGTCCAAAAGTTTCCACAAGTATTAATTTAGTTTTTTTGTTCTTATAATTCATAAGTTCATTTCATTGAACGTTTGGTTGTACAACATATTTATGAAAATGTTGTAGCAATATTAATGAATTTATTAGAACGAAAGCATTTTACTTGTGGTGCACTGCCAATTAATAAATTCTTTAGCGAGTCTTTAGTTTCTTCAAAATTGATCTGGGCCATTTTTGGTTTGTAAGGCTCAAAACAATTTTGCAAGACATAATAAGTAAGACTCGTAATGTTCAATTAATTTCGAGGTGGACCTTGAGATTATTTGAGAAGTTGGTGTATGTTTAAGATTCTAATTTATGGACTTAGATTTTTTTGGTTTGTTGTCTAAGTTATTGGAATGTTTCTATGACTTGACTATCTTTTGGCTATCTTAATGAGTGGGAGTGACAGACGTGTTAACTCTAAACTCTTAGCCGTTAGAGGTAGTGTTTATGTTAACTTATAAAGAAGTCATAGAATATAGTTAGCATTATGCTAACATTAAGAGATCTCTACTTAAGGCATGCTTATAAGATTTTGGAGATCATACAGTGAATTTGGATGGTTTCTTCATTTAGTTGTGCACATAATATATTTTGAGAAACATCCATTAAGGGACTAGAATAAACGTAGGGTTTGTTCATAAAGAACCTAAGTTAGGGAATTTAAATGCATGTAATCATAGTAGATATTACTCAATTAGTAGAGGACATATTACTATGGTTCATGTGTTTTGTTCTTTAATGAAGGTTGTGCCAGTACTAGCACCAAGTGAGAGAATGTAAGTATTTTCCCTAAATACAATATATTATAATATATTGTATTATTGGGTGGTTGTGGTGAAAGTGGAAGATTAAGTCAGTTAGTGACTTAATCTGTTAGGCAACTCAGGATATTCAGTTAAGCTTTAACTGAATATCTGCCTACGTTGATGGCATGTAGGCTTCTAAGCAAAACAGTCCTCCCACAGCTCCCGTTTCAGTATACACGCACCATCGAGTATTTGGGAGAGAAGTGGTAGACAAAATACTAACCTTTATTCTGCAGGTTTATCATCTTGTGGCAATACCAACGACTACGGCTGGGGATATTCGGGCAATCCTAAAGCTTCCGCGGTAACGAGGCAGGTTACTCGTTTACTAAAGTTTATGTTAGCCTTAATATTATTATCTAACAGTAACCTCTCAAAGTTAAGGGGTTCCTTGTGCGCGGTCTAGCATCTGAGGATTCATGTTCAATTAAGTTACCATAATTTACATCCTCTCACTGGGTCAGGGTGTGGGGTCCTTAAAGATTGGGGTTCAACCATTTTGGAAGAATATGGCTGTTGAATATATATGCGTTTGTTTTGCTTTTCAAAAAGTCTGGTAAAATTCCAGAATACTGTGGCTTTTGGTTGATAGCATGTTCGGATTTTAAACAATTTCCAAAATGTGGCTGTTGAATATATATGGGTTTGTTTTGCTTTTCAAAAAGTCTGGTAAAATTCCAGAATACTGTGGCTTTTAGTTGATAGCATGTTCGGATTTTAAACAATTTTCTAATTTAAAATGTTACATGCCTACATGTCGTATGTATTTATTCTTATTACTAATATATATAGTTCATAAATTCAATTGCAATATTGCCCCTGAGGATAAAAATTTGTTGATAAACTCAAAGGGTAAAAGTGGAAAATCCAAAATTGTCATGATAAAACTCTGGACAAAGAAAGAAGTAGAAAATGGAGAGACACTCTCCCTGGATGAATTTAACACAATTGTATAATCATAGAAGCAAACAAAGAAAATGAAGATCCATAAATAAACAAACAAGCAAATAAACACGTCTCCAATACAAATGTGTTCCAACTTCCAAATCTCCAATACAACACAGCCAATGAGAAACACGTCTCCCTGAATAACAAGCAGCACAAATAACAAATTGAATTTACAAAAACAACAGAATAAAACATAAGTTCTCCACCTCACCAAACAAATTATACAGCACTGCAAAAACAAAGATTATTTTTATTGGTTTAAATATGGATATCAGAAAAAAAAATTAGTGTAGCATTATTGGGTAGACCACACCAGATCTGCAAACAACGATGCTCAGTTCATGCCCTTCACAAACCCACGATAAGAGAGACCATAAGCAGACATGGAGAAAGAGAAAATGCTTTAGCAACTTCATTTTGAACGAATATAATTTTGGCAATTAGCAACTTAAGTTCACTTACCAAGTATATAAGATAGCAGAGAAGAACAAGACTCATTACTGCAGAAAAAAAAAAAAAAAGAAGAGATTTTTAACTGACCTGCACAACTCAAAAGATCATCTAGATGACACCATGGCATTTTTAAATTTGCTGTATCAGTTTGAGCTCATCAGGAGGATAGATACTGAGCTTGAATCTCCGGGGGGTTCCTCCTTTCTCCTTTACTTCCTTCTCTTTCCCTTGTTTTATCTGTAAAATGTTCCAGGCCGACAGTGCAGCATTTGAGTTGGTAAGGTTCAGCTCCATCTCCTGAAGATTGTCTATGTCCGCCAGGCTAGGTGGGACTTCCTCCAGATTAAGGCATTGTCTAAGAATGAGTCTCTTTAGTAATGGGAAGTGGAGGCTAGAAGCCTTCCATGTCTTCAAATCTGTCCTCTCAATTCTCAAAAATTGGAGACGAGGAAAGTCACCTTCAGATGGCTCCCACTTATCTCCTTTGAATGCATTTTCTACCAATTTGAGAATTTCAAGGTACTCCAGTGATCCCAATACAGATAATTCACTCCATTTGAGCTGTGTTCCAGACAAGGTTAGCCTCCTAATCTTTTGTGGAAATTCATACTTTTGAGGGAGGCATTGCAACTCCCCACCATGATTCAGCAGCTTCAATTTCTCCAACAAGTGCAATTCTCTGAGGTTTTTGAACAAACTAGACCCAGTATCCTTGTTGGTTTCAAAAAGCTTAACCAAATTTCCCTGTATACCCAAGTTTTTCAAATCTGGAGCTTTGACCAATGAAGCTGCTGTGCAGCTTTCAGGTGAAATCCTTGAAAGTGTTTGCAAGTTTCTATTTGGAAAAGGATTTTTCTTGGTCTTCGAGGAAGAAGGTGGAGGCAATTGAGCAGATGAATTTGTTTGCAAGTGCCTCAATCGTGTCATTTGCCATATGTCTCCTTTGATATCAAGGGTGCTTTGCTGTGTCCTAACTATAAGAGTTTGCATGTTCCACAGACTATCAATGGCTTGAGGAAGGATCTTGAGGGTAGTTGATATTGCAATGTACCTTAAATGGAACAACTTAGTCATGTCTCTAGGAAAACGTGTGAAGATGATGGATTCATCTGGTGCAGTGTGTAACACCCTTAGCAGTGGAAATGCTTCACGAATGATTGCAAGTTTTACTGCAGGCAGTTCATGTTCATTTGAGGAGAAGCATAACAAAGAGCGGACATGTTCAGCAGCAAGACCTGAAGAGAGAAATGCCAAAAGATTGCTCTGGACACTAACTCGACGACAAGTACCTAGCTGCCTGCTCATGTTCATTTCTTCAAATAGATTCACCTCTTTGGCCTCATTCATGCAGAACTCATGCAACATGTCATGAATGCGACAACTTTTGATTTGTCCATTTGACCTTCTTTGCATTACCATCACCAAATTCCTATTGACAAGATCACTCAACTTTCCATTAGCTATGTCCTCCAAGGTCAATGATGGTGCATCTTCCTCAATAATAAACCCCTCAGCAATCCACAACCTAACGAGTTTTTCAGCTGAAATCTCAGATCCTTTAGGAAAAGCCCCAAAATAAAGGAAGCAACTCTTCAGGTCATAAGGCAATTGGTCGTAACTCATTCGCATTAGGTAATCGTAGCTCTGTAGGCTCAGTCTCAGGAAGTCACTGATACTATCAGCTACTTTGTCCCATGCCCTACTTGTTTTTGGTTTACCTAAGAGAGTACCAGCAATAATCACTATTGCTAGTGGTAGTCCACCACATCTTTTAGCGATGGTTCTCCCAGGCCTTTCTAACTCAAAAGGACAGCTGCTTTCCTCCTGGAAGACCTTCTTCTGAAGTAGTTCCCAACTTTCATCCTCAGTTAAAAATTTTAGGTTATGAGGGTCACCCCTAGAATTGGCATGCATAGCCACAATATTGTGGTGTGTAGAAACCAATACCCTGCTTCCCTTGTTGATGGGGAAAGCAATTTTGAGTTCATCCCAGTTTTGAACTGTCCATACATCATCTATGACAATAAAATATTTTGTTGACCCCAAAAATATTTTAATTTCATTGACTAAATCTTCATCAGTCACGTCATCAGAGTAGCTGTAGGATCGCTTGCTCAACTCTTTCAATATTCTTAGAAAAATATCCCTTCTGTTGTATACTTGAGAAACATAAATCCAAGCACGAATCATGAAGTGATACTCAACTCTTTCATCCTTGAAAACCTTGTTGGCCAAAGTAGTCTTGCCAAGTCCTGGCATACCCACTATCGAGATAACTTCAAACCCTTTTGATCCACCAGTGAGACGTTGGACTATAGCATCAACCTCGCCATCAAAACCCACCACATCATCTTCCTCCACAATAGGAGGATTAGGAGCCTATTTCAAAACCACGGAATAAGCATACATACAACAAAAATAGTCTCATATAATTTGGGGATATATAAAATGTATAGTAGGTGCGTGCAAATACAATACAAACATGTGTATTAACCACCTTACTGTGATTTTTTAATATCAAATTCATTTTAAGTCTATAACAATCAAGTAAAATTTCGCTTAAAAAAAGGACAAAGAGAGAAGTTTGAATCGACGAATACCCGATTATGCCAGATTAACGATTCATCATCTCGGAGAAGATCAAGGTCATACGTCGGATGATCTTGGATCTCTCTCAATCTGATCCGAACTTTCTGAATAGTTCTATCGAGTGCCCGTTTTCGATTCTTGTGTTCGATATCCAGACACCGTAACCATTTCTTGTCGTAGTGGTTTTTGGCAGCCACGACATATTGGTCGATGAGATCCTCGGCCATGCTGACCACGAACCGGATCTTGTTGATAAGGCGCTCGAGGATGTCGTTGTGGTACCGGACATTTCCGGCTTCTCTGAAGAATAACTTGAAGTTGCCCAGGTCAGTTAGAACCCCCTGAACCTCGTCCTCGAGGCCAGATATGAGCTGGACGTTCTCTATTAGAAGATGGGTCAAATTCTGTACCAGCAAATTCACCACCACTTCTGCCATCTCTGCCTCTCTCAATCTCTGAGCTCGTTTTGATCTCAAAGATTCTCAATAGAAACCATTGCCATCTTTCATGATTAGTCTGAGCATCGGCGATGACAAAGTAGTTGACTTGCTTTCTCAATCTACACGCAATTTGTTATTAATAATTTAATACGGAGTAAATAAAATAAAGGATAAGGGAGAAACAAATTCTCATATTTTTAATGAAAATGTAATTAAAGGTGTAGTGACTTTTTCCATCGGGAGATCATGAGCTGAGACGGATTCAAAAAATTATTTGAGTAGGAGCAAAAATTAAATGACATTAAAAATGTCAATGACAAAATTTCAAACAGTTATAATAAAGTTAAAATACAAAATACATTTTAAATTACAATAGAATGTTTTTGATAGATTACACAATGGTTAGAGTCCGAGTAAAAACTATACCTGAGTGGAGTAAAAATGTAAAAATATGAAACATAATTGATTAGATAACATAATTTAAATAACACTATATTCATAAATACTTTTTAATTTTAATTTCTTTTAATTAGATTAATTTTTCTAAATTAATTCGAATACAATAAAGTATAATATAAACGTTGGTAGGGAATACCTCGACCGACATGCCTTCGGCTTTTATTCTTGTTTATGCAGGTCTACAGTCGGATATTTCTAAAGGAACCCGGTCGGACCCGACCGGCGTCTTCAACACCCGTTCGATGGCCCTTGGATGCAAGAGTTGAGAAGAGGCACGTGGCAACGTTATGCGTTGGCAGGCAGGGCTCACGGGGTGGAGACACGTGGTTGCTACGTGGGTTACATGCCGGCCGGCCGGAGCTGTGTCTCCGGCCTAGCAGCTATAAATACCCACGGTGGCAACAGTTTGAGGGACTTTTGGAACGATCGATAGGCTATTTACAGAGCAGCCCGACCGCAGTCAGTCGGCCCTCGGAATAGCCATTTTAGATTGTATTAGGTCCTTTACCCGATCAATAAAGACTTTATTTGCTTTTAACTTGATCGTGTTGATTTCTTTGACCGCTTTACGTGGAATTTACACTATCAAACGTGTATACTACATTAAGTAAATTATTCATAAAAAGTAGGCTAAAAGACATTTAATTTGTTAATTAAATGATTCATAAAATGTAGACTAAAAAAATATTTAATTTATCTTGGAAAGAAATGAAAGGGATAAAATAAAGGTACAAGCGTCAAATAGACCCATCTACTACTGCGAAGTGCTCAATTCCCACCACGAACTAAATTAAGTGTCAAATAGGCACATCTACCAGCTAAATTTGTTCAATTGACATTTTTATAGGTTGCCTATCTAATTATTATAAATATAATAAATAAATAAATAAATAAATAAATAGAATAATCATTCTTTTTTTTTAAAAAAATTTATTCTATTGAAACAAATTTAGATGGTAGATGGGCCTATTTGACACGTAATTTAGTACGTGGTGTGAATTGAGCACTTCGCAGTAGTAGATGGGTCTATTTGACACTTGTGCCTAAAATAAATGAGAGAAGATAAGGAATAATGTTGCTAATAAGATTTGAGCATATGATATATGCATTTTAACATCAAATTTGGAATTCAACCAACTAAATTACTTAAACTATTAAGAATTTCAACATCAAATTTGAAATTCAACCAACTAAACTACTTAAACTATTAATAATTTTAACATAAATATACATTTTATATAATATATAATGCTTATGTGTATATATATACATACCTATATATAAGGGGAGGGGGTAGCTGCCCCCATAGTGGCTGTGCCCCTGGTCATGGGTTCGAGCCTCAGTGGGGGTGATATTCACTCTTTGTGCTTCAGTAGGTTGATAAAGTAGTTATGAACAGATACTACATTGTAAACAGAATAAGAAGTACCGAGTAAAAACAAAAAGAGTTCTATTGTACATACTATGAACAGATACTACATTGTAAACAGAATAAGAAGTACCGAGTAAAAACAAAAAGAGTTCTATTGTACATACTTTCAAATTATACTCATTTACTTTTACTCTCTGATGTGTTAAACAAGAATTAGTTATTTTCATCATGTGAGTCCACAGGAAAAGTGTCTACGTTAAGAACTTGTGTGAGACATAAAAATTGAGACTATAAAATGGAAGTCCACCAAGTATTTTCCAAAAAACAATTACATTCTTTGACCTGCTGTTAGAAGTGTCAAGCAGACGGATTAGTGCAAAATCTAGCTAAGGCCCGACACATTTGGGTTGGCCCGGGCTAACGGTATATTTTAAAAAAATATATATACATGATGGACATATTAAAAATGGACCCAGAACAAACCGACCTAATGGAGCAGAGGAAAATTGGTCTGGTTGGACCCGAGGCTCTGAGAACGAGTCCCGTGCTCGGCCTCGGTTGCCAAAACCAAACCCATGGCTCAACCCCAGACCACCTAGGCCGAGCCCTACGCTCAGCTTTAGCATAGGCCTTAGCCCACAAGCTGCTAAGGTCGAGCCCAGTGCTCGGCCACCAAGGCCGAACCCCGCGCTCGACCTCGGCCTAGGCCTTGGCTCCCAGGCTGCCAACTCCGAACCCTGTGCTCGGTCACGACCACATGTTGGGCGCCACCCGGGTTGGCCGAGTTAAGCCCCTGCTCGATTCAAGACGTGACGTTGTAACTTATTATGGAGGGATTTAGTTAAATAGTTAATGTCCACCTACTTATCACCAATTGATTTTAAGTCAGATATGACAACCAGATAGCCAAAGAACTTTGTGGTTAAGCATGCTTTACTTGCAACAGTCACATGATGGGTGAACCACTGAAACGTAAGCATAGTGCAGTGCTGAGTCGGAAAAAATGATGGTGTTAATTGATTTTGAGACATGACAATGTACTTTCCTGTGCGATGCTTCGCGAGACACAAGAAAGTGAAGGATTGATGATGGATACCCAACACCCCTCCATAACCCCCAAATATTTACCCATTAGTTACCAAATTATTACCCATTTGTTACCCATAAATCTCAATAATTACCCTATTAATTACCCCTAATAACCATTAATCCCATTCGTTACCCATTACTAGAGGTTATTATACATTTATACTACCATGTATTTTACTTATCTTCCTACTATAAAAATGCATGGGAACAAAGAAGGAGGATGGCTCCATCTTTGTGTAGAAAACAACAAAACAATATGTACAAAAATCTCCTTTAAAATAGTGAATTTTTGACTTGGCACAGCCCAAAAAGGCCGGTGATTTTTACCTTTCGGTTTCCACATAAAAAATATTATATCTCAATTTCTTTTTTCTTTTCGTTATTTCTATTTTATTTACTCAAATCAGTTATGTTGACCCGCCGAGTGACTATCCTCGGGTCACGAAACCAACAGTCGTTTCCTTCGTCTTTCGTGGTGCATAGGGTTTTTTCGCAAACCTCTCTCAAGTTCTCTGTTTCTATTTCTCTTTACAGCTTTCAGTCTCCAGTGGTATTTGAGGACGTAGCGACGCGGGAATTGAAGATGCACATGCAACTTAATTATCATTAACTTAGCTATAGTATTCTTCTAGAAAGAGCCTATGATGGGAAAATCACTGCATCCTGCCTCTTCTATAAGAGCACAGCAAAAAGAAGGGGATGAAGGAAGTGGTCAGTTGGCTAACATGGCTTGGACGTTATAATGGTGAAAGGATGGAGAGTGGAGAGAAAGAAAGTGATCGTGTGGATACTTACTCGGTAGAGAGGGCGTTCATACTTGTCCAGAGATCCTCGTCGCGTGGCGCCCTCAATCGACCATAAGCCGATGGGGGAAGATCACACCTTTTCCCCACTCTAGGGGGCTGAAGATACAACGGTGATCAACATGGTGGAGTTGGCGCAGCCTTCTACCTCAAGATGAAGGGTTTAGGCTCCAGGCTGGACGACTGATGTTTGTCACGGTCAGAGTCTCAACGACTCTTCTTTTGGACGGCCTTTGGTTCTGACCACTTCTTTTTCTCAATGTCGGCAATCTCCTTCTTTTTCTTCTCTGCCTTGGTGGTAACGGTAGTTAGCAAGGCTCATATTGTGAGCAGGTGGAGGAGGAGGAGCTGGTGGTGCCTCTTTCATGGGCTTCTTGCTCTTGTCCTTGGTGGAGGAGATACTACCCCTCTGCTTTTGCTTTAGTACCCTTCTTATGGGCATCCGCTTTATTACCCTTCCTAAACTAAGCACGAAAAGCCTCGTGGCAAGAAGCCATCTCTTGGATGGCCGGAAGCGGAAGTTAGAGAACGTTAGAGGGTGAAGTGGATGGCGAGTTGTGAGTTAGCGGTGGATGGAAAGAAGGTTGAAATATATAGTTTCCCAGGAATGTCGTTCTCAAAGGATGACAAATTTGGATGCGTTAATGTGTATCAAGTCAAAAGAAGGACTAGGATCCTTCAACTAACAAGATCCAAAGTGTGTGCAAGCATGGTGTGAAGAGTAGCAAGAATCAAGTGCAAGTATCAAAAGTAAACAAGTAGGAAAACAAGTAAACTAAGCAATTGAGATGAAACGGGGTATGGATTAGCCTTTCCTTGCAATGGTGTTTCTAGTGTCTAAGCTAGGAATTGCATGATTGTGTTTATTGGACTTCAAGTGAGGTGATTGCCATTGCCATAACTGTTTTAGGTCTTATAGCTTATTATGGTGTAATAGAGCACCTTAGTGACAATGTTACACCTATGAAACATTTCACCAAACACCTTGCATACACCTTATTCTAGACTTTGCCCTCTCGGATCTAAGGCGGGAAATGTAAGTGACATTTAAGCTCTAGTGACTAGTATGCTAGCGATCTATTGTCAAGTATACTAAGTCCTAGATCATCCAAGGAATTGTGCCCTAACTCCAAAGATACAAATAGACCTCCCACCTTCATCATGAAATCAATCAATAAACACAAACACAATTTCAATTAACAATTCATAATCACACTAGCACCATGCAAGTAAATGTTAATCCAATCCCTAAGGTGGTTTAGCCACTCATTGTTCTTAATTGAAAGCACATTAAATTGAAGCAATGAATGAAGATAAAAATGAAATTGAAATGGAGAAAGTGCAGTGTTTACCAAGCTTCAACTCAAAAGTAGCATTCAATCAACAAA